AGTCAAATATTAAGAGAATACTTGAAGCCCTAAACCTTAAGAAATTGACCAATCACAGTCTAGTATTAAGAGAATATTCGATTGTGATTGGTCAATTTCTTAAGTCTTACGCCTTAAAATCTCATTGTAGGAGACGCTTAACACGTCGTCTACAATGGCAGTAGGATTAACGGATTAAAGCAGCATCTTAAGGAATTGACCAATCACATTCAAGCATTAAAAGAATACTCGACTGTGATTGGTCAATTTATTGAGTTACAGCTTTAGTTCATTGCTTACATACAGCTTTAGAGCATTGTCTTCATAAACCGCGTTACGAAATTATTATCAGTATACTGCAAATTCTATAGTGCACGTTACGTAAATTATATATTTTCAGTGTTGACAGTGAACTGGCAACAATTTCGGAACACGGCCATACTTGACTGTGATTTGTCAATTTCTTGAGTCTTACGCCTTACAAGCTTATGCTACGTCCATTGTAGACGACTCTTGAAGCGTCATCTACACTGAGATTTTAAGGATACTTAAGGCGTAAGACTTAAGATTTTTACAATTGTCATGCGCACGATCTTTTTCGATCAGCTGATTGACAATCAGCTGATTGTAACGTATGGGCGCGCATGCTCGTATGTTGCTTAGATTTCTTCGACGGTTGACAATGTTATTGTCAACGAGCATGATAAGCGTTTCTTAGGCATTGAAAAAATAAGAGATAATTCGACCAGTTGAATTTTTGTAGAAAATAGGTATTTCGAGAAGTTTCTCGACGCCCGTTAATTTTGTATTTTCGGATTTTAATATAGAAAAATGTGGATTTTGGCTATGCGATTTTTAACAATGATTATGAAATTTGAACATTAATATGATTTTAGGATCCCCTTAACAAGTGATCTAATGTAGAAGTATAACATCGCTTAATTTGTTGTTCCATCATTTAAAAAAAAAACGTTTTTCCACATCCTGCTCCTCCTGTAATAAACAATCGTAAAGGTTCAATAATTTGACCTTGAATATCTTGTTTAATATGATTAGTAATTGTATTAAATAAATTAGATTATTTTATATTCATATTTCTAACATTTTGCACGAATTCTTCTGCAAAAATAACGCGATCTGCTTCATTGGATTGTGTAAATCCAAGTCGGTATTATTATTATATTACCATTATATAATGTACACGATCTTCTTTTTCTACCATAGACTGCGTATTTGTGTTGTCATCATCAAATGCAATAATTTGAGCTATAACTTCTTGTAATTCTCATTCTATAAATTGGAATTGCTCAATATTTTGCCCTTACGTAGAGGTTTTAATAGAGATTACATAGAAGTTTTAATAGATGACGTTTTGCATTAAATGCTTGTTCTGCCGATTCATATCCCTGAAGTAATTCTTTTTCTGAAATGAACATGAACTACTAAATAACTATAAAAGTATGTAATGTTTCGTGACTATTAATTTGAGTATAATATTGTGTTTTTAACACTGCAGGTCGTGTACGTTGTTTCATTCTCGTACCATCTTGTGAACGGATATACTTAGTTGGAATTATATCATTTTCTTCATTATAAACTTCTACATCTCCATCTTCTTCATAATTATTCAATCGTGATATAAATTCATACGTAACAACACATTCAGCTAAACTGAGATCGTCCAAATTTTCCGGACGTAAACAATAGCGATTAAATATATTTGCATATAAGTTATTAATGTAGCCATCGCTGTTAAAAATAATATCGAGTAGAGATAGCACTGTCCTCTCTCATGAATTGACTGACACTAACGGGGCGCGAATACGAGTCCATTCGGGGCCCTTGGACGGGCCCATTGTTCCTTTGTCTTCTTGTCGCGAATATCAGACAAAGATTTCAAGCAATTAGAAATCCTGAGAAAAAACCGTGTAACAGTACCGTGCAATAAAGTACTTCTAATATAAGGATTAATTGAAAAATTGTAGTCGACCAAACCAGCCAAAAAATTAAGTTTATTAATACGACGTTTCGACTGTGGTTGTGGTCCTTATCAAGTATACACTAAAAAAGATTTATAAATAACTAAATTAACGGTTTGAATACATAGTAACGCACATAGAATTAAAGTGTGAACAGATTTTTACCGATGTAATAATAATCAGAAGGCAAACATTAATGGTGAACATGTAAAACACGTAATCACGTAATACAAAAACGTTATTTAACTAAATTCAAATTTGAGAGAAGCTGATGCGTCCATGTGAGACTTCGTCAATAAACTAAACATAACAGGAAGAAAGGCGATACTAAGTGACCTTAATAATTTTGTCGTAAATATTATCCCTAAAAAATTACCCTTTTAAAAAAAAGGTAAAAAAAGGTGCTAAGTCCGCGTAAAAAACAGTATATGTATTTACAAAATAGTGTATTATTAACTGTAAAAAACTATTGTATTGTATATCCTACAAAAATAATGATATCAAAAAAATTGCGCTAAGTGAAAATAAAAGCTTATAAAAATACTTTAACCAAAAAAAGTTATACAAAATAGCTGATTTAATTTTCTACATTATATCCTAGAAAAATAATGATATCCAAAAATTACACTAATTGAAAATAAAAACTTAAAATAATTTAACTAAAAAAAATTGTACAAAATAATTGTTTTAATTTCATACAAATAATATTAAAAAGTTGCGCCAACTGAATAAAAATTTTTATTATAAAATAGACATATTTCTTTTTTATTTTCAATATTAAAAGAAATATTTTACTAGATATTTTATAGTTTATGTAAAATTAAGATTTTATTTTAAGTTTTATAAATCGAAAAGTACTCAATGAAAAAATACTTTATTATAGTGTTTTGGAAAGCTCTCGACATAAGCTATAAGAATATGCAATAAAAAATAGGTAATTCCATTTAAGAAATTAAAGGTGTCCTTGACCTGACCTTAACGATGCCAACCAAGGTCAAACCAATGACACCATCTTATGTTCCCCTCAAAATCATACAATTTTTGTCGAAAACGTTTTTCTCTAAAATGCTTAGTTTTTGAAAGAAAAGGGGTGTACGGGTGGTCTAGGACACCCTGTATACAAGGTGTCCCATTTTAATAGATGGATCCAAATTTCTCCTAAACTACGCCAGCTACAAAAAAATGTTTCAGACAAAAGTTGTATGGCTTGAAGGGGGACATAAGGTGGTGTCATTGGTTTGACATTGAAGAGTCACCTAAAGTTTACGTGAAGATCACATCCAACTTTTTAAATGGGACACCCTATATGCTTTTACATATTCTTATAGTTCATTTCGAGAGCTTTCCAAAACACAGTAATTAAGTTAGTTTTCATTAAGTAGTTTTCGAGTTATGAGGCTTGAAATCATTTCTTAATTTTACATAAATCGTAAAATATCTAGTAAAATATTCATTTTTTGTTTAACTTATCTTAATACTTTTGTATACAAAATAATAAGAGGAATCAATTGGGGTGTAAAGAAAACATATAACTGTTCCGAGGAAAAAAATATGTAATTTGCAATTAACAGTTCCATATTTTTTGTTAAACAACTGTATGTTTTCTTTACATCATTTGATTCTGCTTATTATTTTGTACGTAAAAGTATTAAGATAAAAGTATTAAGTATAAAAGTATTAAGATAAGATAATCGAAAAATGAATATTTTACTAGATATTTTACGACTTATGTAAAATTAAGAAATGATTTCAAGTCTCATAACTCGAAAACTACTTAATGAAAATTAACTTAATTATAGTATTTCGGAAAGCTCTCGAGATGAACTAAAAAAAATATGCAAAAGCATATAGGAAGTCCCATTTAAAAAGTTGGATGTGATCTTCACGTAACCTTCAGGTGACTTTTCAATGTCAAACCAATGACACCACCTTATGTTCCCCTTCAAGCCATACAACTTTTGTCTGAAACATTTTTTTGTAGCTGATGTAGTTTAGGAGAAATTTGGTTCCATCGATTAAAATGGGACACCCTGTATATAATAGTCTTAACATCACGGAGCGCCGCTAGCGCAATCTTACGTCGAATGCGGCAAACGTACAACTTTTTACGCTTGCGCATTGGGGACTTGGGCGACGATGACCAAGGAGACGTTTCTTAATGAAAATTTTTCATATTTCGACTTTGGATCATAATATTGCTGTTCACGATGCACGTAGAGCAAAAATAAAGACACTTTTCTTATATAAATCAACCTCAAGCTATCCATTAAGCCTACTAAGAACTCGATCCATTCAGCGATTATTTCAATATGATAATCTCCAACTATTCGACTCGCGTAAAGATACACGGCGCGTCTTGTTGCTTACGCGGGACTTAGCACAAGACACTACCGTGTCTCTTGATTTAAACTATCTGTGTCTGTCTATAAGTTGATTAGATTTTCAGATCTCTTGATAAAGAACATTTCAGCTATTTCTCTTTTACGAACGTACTTTTCATTGTGCAAGATATTCGGTTTCGACCAATCGAAATCGTGTCCAGATTCCAATTTATGTTTGCTAATAGCGGAGTGATTAGACTCATGTAACTTTATATTGTTACAATGTTCTCTCACTCGGGTCCGCAAATGTCTTTTTGTTTGCCCAATGTATGATAAATTGCAATCCCTATAGTTTAATTTGTATACAACACTTGTCTTGTCATTATTGTGTAAGGTGTCTTTACCACATCTAATTAAGTTATTTAGTTTTTTTGCTACTTTGTAGACGACGTTGAAACCATTGTTTCGTAGAAGACGGTAGAGATCTTAACTCGTATTCTCTACGTATGGTATAGTGATAAAATGAGTTTTATCTGGATGAGTAGAATTGGTGTCATCGGTGTCATTGCAATCACGATTGTTTAAAAAATTGATTCTTTTTGGAATGTGTCTATGAATAATGTGTTCAGGAAAACAATTATTAACTAACGTATCATATATTAACTTAATATTCTCTTGTTTAAAGCAGTCGTCAGATAATAAAATGGCATGGTCAACTAAATTATAAATCTAAATTATTAATTTTATATTTTAACGGATGATTCGAGTAAAAATTAATATATCTCCCGGACCATGTGGGTTTCCTAAACCAATTGGTGATAAGTTTTGTTCCCAACCGAATGATTTTAACATTGAGAAAACTAATCGAAGAATCAATTTCTTTCTCGTACGTGAATCTTAAACGTTTGTGGTACTTATTAAAAATGGTTAAAATATCGTCAATTTTTGTGCGTGGTACAATTGTAAAAACGTCGTCTACATATCTGTAATACATGAGAACTGTAAAGTTCAGTGAGTTAAGATATTGTGTCTCCAAATCGTCCATCACCATATCTGCCAAGATAGGTGACAGTGGAGAGCCCATGGGTGTGCCGAAGATCTGTTCATAGAAACGTCCGTTAAAAGAGAAGCAAGTTGAATCCAAAATCAAGTCAATTGCAAATAAGAATTGAGATAAATTAAATTTAGTATTTTTTGCAATGTCGTCCCAGCGTTTTTTAATGGCGTTTTCAACTAACTCCCTTGGAACGTTTGTAAATAACGAAGTCACATCCAAAGAAATCATGATGTTGTCTTCATTAATGACTGTGTTCTTTATGTTTTGAGCAAAGGACCAACTATCTTTAATAAATGAATTTGGTTTCTTTATAGATTTATACAGAATGTTGTGGATGTAACTCGAAACGTTGTACACAGGGCTTCCCAAAGCAGATACAATGATTCTCAATGGAAAACCGTCTTTGTGGATCTTCGGCAGACCGTAGCATCGCGGTAAATTACCGTTCGTACAATTTAAGTTTCTATATGTCAACTCACTGATCAAATTATTTTTGCGCCATGATTTTACTAACTCATTAATTTTATTAGTCAATTTTTTCAAAGGATCTTTGTTCAAAGGTTTATATGTAGTTTGGTCATTCAGCAGCAGATACATTTTATCGAAGTAATCTTTTTTATCCATGACAACAGTAGTCTGACCCTTGTCAGCTCTTGTGACCATAATGTCACTATTATTTTCGCGTAAATATTTTTTAGAAACAGCGAATGAATTAAGGATATAACGGTCTGAAAAATTAATATGTTTCTTTGTAGCAAGAAATCTTTGAAGGATATTAGCCACTGAAATCCGAGTTGTTTCGATAGTATCAGTGGGCAGGATGTTGCTACTCACTTCAAAGTTCTTGATCACGTCCAAAACATAATTAGTGCGGTCACTATTTTGTTTTTGTTCGATAGGCAAGGCAAAGTTCTCACCCAAGCTCAAAAAATCAGAAACCGTGTCAGGTATGTCTTTACTGCTGATGTTGACCAACCACTTAGAATTATTGATTAGAAAAAGGATGTGAACAAGTGTTGTATTTTTGTTTTAAATTGTTGAACTTCTTAATTGAGTTATTCTTTATACCAAGATCAAAGGATGAAAGTCTATGTTTATTTAATTCGAAAAAATTAGTCAGTAGATCGTGAGGTAAGCATTCAAACAGTCGTTTTTCAATACATTTAATTTTGCTGAGCAGATAATTTAAATTAATGTTTTAATCTTCGATCTCAAAGTTCAACAATTTAAGCTGATTCATTTTCTTAAATTTATCAAACTTGCGTCTAATGCTGTTACTGTGGAACACGATGTTAATTTTTAATTTGTTAATATGTATAGGAATCAAGTCGTGTCTTCGGCAACAAATCAAAAAAGGTTAATTGTTGTTTCGAGGTAGATCTTCTTCTTGCACTTTATCCAAGATTTTAAAAGCGTTGTACAGTTGTCATCAAACCGTTGAGAAACATGTTGGAAAAAGTCATCAGTACGAGTTAGTCCATTATTAGATCCATGAGCGAAATTAAAATTGTAAATAAATTAATATCGCTAGTCAAGTAATCAAAGGATCAATGTTTGGTCGACTACAATTTTTCAATTGATTGAAATTCAATTGGTTGAGTCTACAACTAATCAGGATAAATTCAAGAAGAAAGTGAAGAATGAACAGAAAGATATTGCTATTGCTGCGAGTCTTTTCGCAACCAAATAAGACAAGACACTCTTGTATATTTTGTGACCTAGATGAAAGTGCATCGTTCGAAAAGGCTAAAAAGATGTCCTATGAAGATAGATGCAAAATCGTTAAAATTAAAAATGCTTGTTTTTATTGTGCAAAGACGGGATACAGTCATAAATATTGCAGATATAAAGGCAAATGCGCATGGTGCGGTAAGAGGCATGTTTTGCTTTTGTATCGTAATACAACATAAAATGCTTCTGTAAAAGCTAATCAAGAAGAAGAACTTTCCAAGATAAAAAAACAATCTACGCTTGCTAATTTTTCACTTACCAGTGAAGTATTTTTACAGACGCTTTGTGTGAAATTGTTTAATCAAGGTAAGGAACAAATAGTCAGAACTATTTTTGATAACGGTTCACATAGATCATATATTCTTGACTATTATGCTGAGAAAATGGGATTTGAGGTCATTGGCGAATAGCATATGGTACATATGTTATTTGGAGATTCTTAAACTCCATTACTAGAATACCGAGTTAGCATAAGCAACATCGATGGATCTTATTCTTATATCCTTGTAGCATTAAGTCAGAGAAAAATATGCGAGAAAATTCCGTCTATAAGCCGAGGCTACAGGAAGTGCAACTAGAAGGAATACAACTCACCGATGTCGATACGAAAGATAAACCTATCGTTGTGTTAATTGATGCGGATATCGCAGGAAAGTTATTAACAGGCAAACGAAAAGAGCTTAAATGTGGAGTCGTAGCACTAGAAACGTTACTCGGATGGACTTTAATTGGAAATGTGGACAACTCACCGCAGCAAAAGGAAGACGCAACACTCATGGTCGTATCTATGTTTACATGGAAAACATTGTCGACTTGTGGAAGCTGGATACGCTGGGTATTATGGATCCTAGCTTGAAAAAGACAGATGATGCACACCAAGCAAATGTTAAAGAGAATTTTCAGCATACCATTAAGATGAATGAAGAAGGTCGATATGAAATATTTCTTCCTTGGAAGGAAGATTACTTACCACTGGTAGAAAATAAAGGATCGGCTATAAAACGACTTGAGTCTACTACTAAAAGACTTAAGACTTAAAATCTTTATGATACGTACCAACAAATTTTTGAAAAATAGTTGTCCAAAAGCATTATTGAAAAGGTTCCGGAGGATGAAGTAAACTGCAATGCCTACTATCTACCTTATAGAAGTGTGATCAAAGAAAATAGTACTACGAAAATAAGGCCTGTATTTGACGCATCCACTTCTTGGAAAACTCCACTGAATCATTACCTCGAAACAGGTCCTAATTTGATTGAACAAATTCCGACAATTCTACTACGTTTTAGACAACGAAAGATAGGAATAACTGCAGACATTTGGAGTGCACTTTTTGCAAATAAGTGTTTCACCTGACGATAGAGACGTATTGCGGTTTCTTTAGTGAAAGAAGACTCGTCCAGAAGAAATAGAAGTATACGGACATTGGCGAGTAATTTTTGGAGTCTCCAGCAGCCCTTTCTTCTTAGGAGCAATGATCGAATATCATTTAGACAAAGCACTACAACAAGGACAAACGGAGGCAGGAATAGAAGTCATTTAACAATTAAAGAAGTCTTTCTACGTAGATAATTGCATAATCAGTGTTAATACGCACAGCGAGGCCGTAGCATTTAAAGTTACTGCAAGACAAATCATGGCAAATTTGATTTGCGAGGCTGGGAATACACGGCTCAAGAAGAAACATATAAATTGACTTTCGTACACGGATTGCTTTGAGATAAAGAACAGGATACTTTAAGGTTGACACCTACATTGTGGGAATTTTACACTACGTCACAGATTACAAAGAGAAATACTATCTGCTGCTCAAAAAGTATTTGATCCCACTAGTTTGTCTCCTCCGATATCCTTAAAATCTAAGCTGTTATTACAGAAGCTTTGATCATGCAAAATCAGTTAGGATGAAGAAGTACCTGAAAATATTAGAGTTGATTTCGATAATTGATTGCAGCAGCTTCACTAGTTAAAGGAACTACATATTCCGCGACACGCTTTTCGTCAATGTAAACAGTCTTTTCATGTGTTTGTAAATGCTAGTCAAGATGCATACGCAGTTGCCGTTTTTGCGAGGACAGAAACTCGAGAGAACATATATATTATGACGTTGCCATCTTGTCGCGTGTCCATCCGCCCCGGTAACTTTGACGGGGCGCGGGCCGAGCGGCCGCGCCAGAAGCCAGATTGCGAGAACAATATCGAACTCCCCGGAGAGATGAGCGATTTTATTGTATTTTGCGCCTTTATTAACTTTTTGTATTTTTTTGTATTAATGAAATGTCGGGCAACCCGCCGGAGAACATCCGGAAGGCGAAGGTAACGTCGACGGATTTCATGAAACGGCCTGCGACACGGCACTCCCCGCCGGCGAGCGAAGGAGGAAATAGCGCCCGAATAATCGAGCCCCGGGACACCACGGGTAAACATCGCCCCTCGTCGTATAAAGGAGGACGAAGGCCTGATCGGCATTACCTTCTAGGGGTGGAGGACGTTAGATGGGCTTCCACTGGATCATGAAAACCGGGGCCCACGACAGCAGAATTTGAATATTCGAGACCGTTTCGCGCAGGGCGCAGGAATACCTCGCGTATCGCGAGGCGCAAAGATATAGCGTGTGTCGCGGCGCGATTTACCACGGAACTGCGCACTTCTGCACGCAGTCATTGACGCAGCTATCGACCCTGGATCTCCCGATCCAGGGACTCACTCTGGTGCGGGTGCTCGACGCAATCAGTTGAAAAGTCGTAATAGTTGTCGCATTTTGCTGGTCGTTGTCGTTGGCGGAATCAAGGAGAGAACGTCACCTCCCTGCTCGAGGACACATATCGGTGAGGTTGCCTATTTTTTGTAAGCCACGTACGCGATTCGGTCCGCCGACCGGCCGTTCTGTCGCCGTCACCATTTTCGTGTTTTGCTGCCGCTCGGGCCTTGTGCCGAGCTGTCGATTTTTCGTGGATTTCTGGCGACCGGAGACAAGCGATCGAGGTATCGCGGGCAGTCGTAACGTAGGCATTAATTGATAGGGTATCATTCGTCTCTCTCCGGGTTTCGGGATGTTAAACACGCGTAGCTATCGACCGAACATCGACAGCGTGCGAAAAATCACGACATCGACAGCGTGCGAAAAATCGCGAAAAGCGTGTATGCCGCCCGTGTTGTCGTGTCGCTGTCGTTGCCGCGTAAACATCCACGCAGACGATCCGCGAGCGATTTTCGTGTCTAATTGCGTAATCGATTATTAAGTGTAGGTGTGAGCGTATAGTATTATAAGTGTGAGAGTATTATAAGTATTTGCGTCTTTGTCGCGCTCATTATGTCAATGAGTAGCGCGTATTTTGTAATGATTATCGTTTGTCGAATGTGTTGCGGTGCGAGATAATCACCGAAAAATTCAACTGTTATCGAAATTTGAGCTGGTTGCGCTGAGAAAAGAGGTGAAACACAGGGAGAGAAAAATCTCCGGCCCCTGTCAGCTATCGAATATCGACCGTATCGCTCGCCGGTCACAGACGAGATCTATTTTCGCAAAATCAGTAATTATTCTCGCTCGATTTTTAGTCACGCTGTCAAACCCTTCTGTTGTCAATTGGAATAGCGAGTTGAGAAATTACGAGGAAAAAGACCGGTACGATAAGACGTCGATATAGATGTCGAAATTCCGTTACATTTTTGGAAATATTGTTCGGTCTGGCGAACTCCGGCCATAAAAACGGGCTCGGGTAAATAACAGAAATGCGCTCTCTTAGGTTGTCGATTTCGAGCGAACATTCGATTTGATTGAATTATTATTATTACTACCTCTATTGATTTGATCTATTATATACTGCGTTTTCTCATATCTTTAAAATTGTGAATATTCGTTCTTATTCGTATTTGTTATTTAATTTTATTTTTATATTATTTTCGTATTAATAAATTTGTTATATGTCTTT